TGGCCGCACCAGGCTATCCCTCCCCTGGCGCCCTGGTTGGCTGTCACCTGCCCCGGTGCTTCCCCGCAGGCTGTCATCAACACCATGTGTGGCCAGGGGATGCAAGCCATGAACTACCTGGAGGCCAGCGAGTTCATCTACACCAACGGCTGCATCGACAAGCTGGTGAACTGGATCCATAGCAACCTCTTCCTGCTGGGGGGCATCGCGCTCGGCTTGGCCATTCCACAGGTAGCCCCCACCTCCCCGGGGGGCGCTCTGCTGGGGCCAGAGGGGCTGGTGTTTGCACTCAAACTTTGGGGTGGGGGGGAGTTTCTGCCCCCCATTAGCTCTGGTGGAAGGGAGCAAGGGACAGGCCCAGCCTACTCCGCATAGCCCCCACGCCCCTGCAGGATAAGGAGAGCCAGGTTATCTGGAGCAGGGGCCGTCATCTGGATGAAAAGGGAATGGCCCCTTAGATCTGAAGCCAGGGTATTGGGCACTCCTAGATCTGAGGGGGGTAGCTTGTCATTTGTGCGCACGCATGAGTTCACGCCCCCCGCATCAGTGGTGGGGCTGGGATGCTAGAAGCATCCAGACTGGGAAGGACTGTTTCCCCCCCACACCCCCTTCAGGTCCACGTTTTGACTTGGTGCGTGTAACCGGGGGGAATCCTGAGGAAGCCTTGGATTGCACCGGTGCCTTGGGCTGAGGAGCGTGGCAGAGCTGTGTGTGGGAGCCCGGGGCTGGAACAGGCTGTGGGTCGGGATCGGCAGAGTTACTGGGCGTGGAGGGAGCCCTCGCCTGGCCTGCTCACCCCTTGACCGGCTCCAGCCTGGGCCATCGCTCTCTCCCAAGCACCCAACATAAATGACAGATATTCTCGTCAATAGCCGTGCGTTTGTCCCTTGGCGAGAGCTTTCTAATTGGCTTAGCCGCAGGCGGGGAGCGCACGGATTGGCCGGCGAGGATGCCGGCCGTCCCCGGTTGGAGCAGCAAGCGTGCCTGAGCCCTCCCAGGTCTGTTCAGCCTGTGGCGCTCTCCTCTCCTTGCAGCTGGTGGGAATCCTGCTCTCCCAGATCCTCATCAACCAGATCAAAGACCAGATCAAGCTACAGCTCTACAATCAGCAGCACCGAGCAGATCCTTGGTACTGAAACCCCCCCCGGAAGAGCGAGTGCTTCCTTGCTGGGGAAGTGCCTCTCGTCCCGCGGCAGGGAACGGCCTGGGGAGGGACACGCACCCCAAGAGGAAGAAGAGACCTGCATTTTCCCCTGCTATTGCTCGCCCTGCCCTGCAGGGGACTGGACCACGGGAGAGCCCCCAGGCAGCCAGCGAGAGGCTGCTGCGTCTCCGGCATCATCCGTAGCATCCCCGCCCAAGTAACTGACATCCTGGTCCCTTTTTTTGGCAGTCTTTTTTTTTTTTAAGTAGGGAAAAGAGTAAAATATTTCCCAGCGGCCCCAGCCCTGTCTGGGAATTGCCTTGAGAGCTGCGTCTTCCCCTAGAAGGCTGGCGCATTGGAGCTGGGCTGGGCTGGCTGGTACGGAAGGGAGGTAAGAGGGGGGGTTTGGTGGTATAATGCAGGTACAAACTTCTTTCCTGCTGTGTGGTCTTGGAGCACGGGGAGGGGGGCCTAGCCAGCTTCCGCCCTCCCAGGCCTGGACCAGCTGGGAGCGACACCAGACGGGAGAATGATCAGACCCCGACCCTGCATTGATCTTTACGGATGCTCCTCTGGCTTCAGTGTATCAGGAGGCGGCTGCTAAGGGGAGAGGGCTAGAGGATGTAACTAGTTGCCAAAAACCAGACTCGGGGGGGGCTGGGAATGGGATCTGGAGCCCAGCCCTCTTGGGCGCTGACTCCAGTCTGGGGGCACCATCTGACTCTGAAGTGGGTCTTGGACACAGGATATGAAGCCTTTCACCACTAGGGCCCCCAGGCCATGCCCAGACTGACATGACAGCCGCACTGGGGCAGACTTGCCGCATTCCCTGGCGGGCTGGTATCCCCACGGCACACAGCTGGGTCACCTTCGGAGATGATGTTTTGGGCTCTTGAAACCTCCCGTGAGGCAGAGTTTCTCCCAGCTGATCCCTGTGGCAGGCAGCAGCTCTGGGAAGCCCTCGGTCTGTGGGGTTGTAGTCTAGCCGGAGGCCCGCGTGGGTCTTGGCTCTGGACTCTCGAGTTCAGTGGACACGGCCAAAGATCGGAGGATGCACTGGCTATCCCAGGTCCGGCTGATGTGCCCACAGCCCCGGGTGCTTGGCTGCGGGAAGCGGCCGAAGTGGCCGATCCTCAAGCGTAGAGCAGAGACAGCGGTGGAGTAGCGTGTCCCGTTCTGGGCACGGAAGAGTCCAGTTGTCAGGGCCATTAATGTAACTGCTTCTACCAGGCTGGCTACACTGAATTCAGTTCCCCCAAGCCTCGAATTTAGGGATCTTTAAACCCTCAGAGCAGCCACTCTTGCTGAGCTCTCTAAGCTGTATGTATAACAATGCTCCTGGATGGGTCCGTCGGCAGGGATTGAACCTGCGATCTCTGGCTCGAGAAACGTGGGCTGCTACTGTTTGAGCTAAAGGACCAAGTCTGTTAGCTCAGCCAGTAACGCTCCTAAACCTGTGTACATGGTGTCACCACTAAGGGACGAAGTCGCACTGTTAGCACAGGTTACACAGTTTTGTATCCAAACGCTCTATGCCTATCCAACGTTGTTTGCGAGAGATGCCCACCCCCTTGTGTAAGGCAGCGATGAGGGGCCGCGTGGCAGGAAGCGATCGGGGAAACAGGTGTTTGCAGTCATCAGCCTGGCGTGGGTGAACCAGGCAGGGTATGACTGAGAGAACATGAATGAAAAGCAGCACAGGGTCTCTTCCTGTAGGGTTTGCTGCATCCGAGCCCGTGGCTGATCCATCTAGTTTGTTACCTGCACAGGCAGAAGATATTTGAAACTGGAGGGTTCCTTAATCTAGCAGGCAAAGGTGGAACAAGACCCAAGAGCAGGAGTTGGCAAAGTTAAAACTGGAAATATGGTGCAAATTGTTACCGGTGCTGGTAATGGACCATTGGAATAGCTTCCCCAGGGATGGGGCAGCTTCTCCATCAGGTGGGCTTTTTGCAGCGAGGCGGGGTGGCTTTCTAAAAGACGCCCCAATTCAACCACACGTTATGGGCCTGATGCAGGCATCACTTGGCGGAATTCTCCGGCCTGTGCTCTACAGGAAGTCAGACGAGATGTCCGTAACAGTCCCTTGCAGCCCTAATGCCTGTGGGTAGCTTATCTTGGCCAGGGCTGGTGCCAGGTGAGTCAGAGGAAGGTATAACCATCCTTCCCCTCTGCCAGTAACGCTCAGTCAGCGTGCGCCTTGCAAACACCACCAGCTGCACCAAGGTGGAAGATGAGACCCCACATGATCTGTGTGTTACCTGTGTGGATGGACATCTGCCCATGTGCTCTCCTGCCCCTTCGAGGCAGCATCTCCTCCTAGCATGGAGAGGCTGTAACAGTCTTCTTGGAACATGCACAGATATATATTTTGAACACTGTACAAAGGGAGGGATCGGCAGAGACTTCTCTCTTTTGGGATGTTTGTAAGTAACACATGGGTTCTGTATTTATCTGTGAAATTAACTCCTCTGTGATGTGTTCCCTTTGCTTGTGTGGAGAATAAAATCAAATCGGGTTCTGACTGAAGTTATAGTTTGGTTTTCTCTGTACTGCACCTCCCCTGAAATAAAATGTGTGCCTGTGTTTGCACACACTACTGCCCTCTGCTGGATGGAATCCTAACAGCTCAGCTGGGTCATAAGCACTATATTGCTCATGCAGATTCTCCTTCAGTTCAAGGAGTAGAGGGCTCTGTTTTTTGGGGCAGGTACATCTGAGATCTTCATAGTCGACAGGAGCCTGCTCCGTTACTTGGGTCAGTGCATATAACAGAACCACTGTCT